TTTTTAGATGTTGCAACAATGGTTTCGGTTTACGTAGCTCCAACCTATTATGTCCGTGTCGAAATTCTGTAAAATTTATTGAATAAATTTTCAGCAAGCTGGGCGACGTCAAAATGGATGGTGTTGCTCTGATTTACGTACAGGAATTTGCCGTTGTTGTTGTTGTTTTTGTTGTTGTAGTTTGTATTGTTGAGTTTGTATTGTTGTTGTGTATGTGTGTGTTTGCGTGTCTTTGTTTTGTGTAGGTGTGGTTTTCTGGGTGAGTGTGGTTGTGTGTGTGTGGTTTCTCTCTCTCTCTCTCTCTCTCTCTTTCTCTCTAAGTGTGTGTGTGTGTGTGGTTTTTTTTTCTCTCTCTCTCTCTCTTTCTTTCTAAGTGTGTGTGTGTTTGTGTGGTTCTCTGTGTATGTGTGGTTGTGTGTGTTTTTATGTACGTGCGCATTCGTGATTGGTTGTAGCTAAAATCAGAGATTAGAAATATTAGCAACACGAGTGTGAATTAACGTGAATCTACGCATTACACATACTGAATGTGATTGATTGAAGATCTTCTCGCATTTGAACACAGTCACAGCAACGCTAGGATTAGGTACCTTAACCTCTACACCACCTTTACACACGTGATTTTTAATTTATTGTGGCTGTTCTGGGGTGCATATATTATAAATTTTATTGTTTTAAGTTTTATAACATAATTTTCAATTTTTTTCAATTTTTTTTATAACAAAATTTCAATTTTTATATTATGTTTATTACTATTTATGTTATCTACAATTAAGCGGAAGTCAGATTTGAAGGTTTTTTTTCTCCAAATAATTGTTTACGCCAATAGAAACTTTCATTATGCTTCTCGTGAAGTGATTACACAGGCGCTTGTGGGTGATGCTCTGGTGTCAAAATAATAATAATAATAATAATAACAATAATAAGGATAATAATAACTATAATAATAATAATAATAATAATAATAATAATAATAATAATAATATTGATAATAATAACAATAATAAGGATAATAATAACTATAATAATATCAATTAATTAAAGGATGAAGGAATGAACAAATGAATGAAAAAATGATTGATTGATAGAATGATAAGCATGCATAAATAAATGAATGATTGATTGAATTAATGAAAAAATATTGTTATTAAATATATATGTAATAAGCATTAAAAAATATACTATATATCAACTCATCACTCAATTGTTTTGAAATAAAATATTTCTGAAAAATTCAACCCAAAAACTATAAGAAAAAATTTTTTTCGGGGCAAATTTGCTTAATGAGACTGACTGGAAGGATATGCAAATTTATCAAGGGAATAACTAAAGAGAGAAAAAGGAGAGAGAGGGAAAGAGAAAAAAAAGAGAAAGAGGAAAAATTAGATGATGCATAAATTGAATTATCTTCACCAATTACATCATGCTTTACCGTATCTGACAGAAATAATTGCCAGTCGATCTTCAGTTTGTTCATGTCTTGTTGCCCCGTTTCACCTGAATTGAAAATGGGTTTTGTTTTCTGTTTGTTTCAATATCTTTAAGCTTTGTTTAGGTATTGTTTTTTATTTTTGTTTAAATGTTTTTTATTTTTTTTTCAGAGTATAAGTTTGTATCGCTTGACAGAGACATGCTTGAGTAATTGCTCGCTTCCCTTTGGGTAGTTTCTTAATCCTACGTTCACAAATAAACTTCATTTATAATTTGTTTGTTTCGTTTGGTATATTTCTTTTGTATGTTTGTTTCGTTTGGTATGTTTCTTTTGTATGTTTGTTTCGTTTTGTAGGTTAGTGTTTTCAGTAAAGTTTTTTAGAAGATGAGTAAAGATGAGTAATTTTTCAAAATTAGTAATGTAATAGGTCATAGAGTCTTTTTTAACATTCTGTTCGTATTAGGATTTTTTCCATTTTTAAATAAACAAAATTTATTTTCATTAATTTCAAAAGACTTAATATTTTTTACAAAAAAATTTCTTCTTTGGCTGTTTCAAAAAAAATACTAATTCATGCTAAAATAATGATTTTGTTTTATTTTTGTTTCTAATTTGTTATTTTTTTATGTTTTCATTCAAAATTGTCGGCTTTGTTTGATTATTGGTATTATTATTTCTTTAAATCAATAAAAAGATAACTTTAAAAACATTTCTTTTTTCTGTGAAACCGGCCAGGCTTATCTTGTTTGGTTGCGTTACATAACATTGAAAATATATAGATGAGCGGAGAAAAAACTCGTACCCGCGTGTCTAATGTCTCTAATGTCAAGGTTGTAGTGTGTAATGGTTCGAGCACCTAGTCCTGCGTTGAAGTGACAGGGTTCAAATGCAAAGGAATCTCCTAAATGTGGGAGAAATGAGTGGTATCGCGCGTAATTGCATGCACTGTGTGTGTTGTTATATATATATATATATAACAAAACAAACAAACATACAAACAAAGCATGTTTTCCGATCAAGTGTTCTATTCTTCGTGCTTTTGGAAGGTTTTTTTGTTTGGGAAAGTGTATTTTTTTAAACGGGGCTTTGTGCCTTGGATGGATGAATGATGAATGATCACATAAGCCTGAAGCTTATTCATTGTTCTCATTGTCTCTCTAATTGAAAATGATCTGTTTTATTTTACTCCAAAATTCACTGTACAGTGTAAATGTATATATTCAAATAAAAATATGAGCTAGAAATGAATAATGATTATAAATATAATTGAATAAGAAATCTTGTTGTTGTTGAGCTTATTATTTGTGATATATATTTGATATATTAAACTTTTTTAAACATTCACCTTCTTACTCGTTCAATCGTTTGAAAACTGCTATGAAAAGTTATATACTTCAGGCCTTTAACATTCTAACAAACAATTTGGTTTTGTAAAATTTGTCGTTACTCTTTGGTGATTGTAAGTGTTTGTGCGTACGTGTTTGTTTGTGTGTGTATTCAGATGTATTTGTGTGTATTTGGCTATTATATCAGCGTGTATAAGTGTACGCATTTTTTGATGTGATTTTATGTATATGTGTATATCTTATTTGTTTTTGTGTGTTTTATGTCTGTGTTCGTGTTTAATATTTGTGTGCGTGTGTGTAGATATTTGTCTCTACCTTTACTCGTTTGTATGCAATTCAGTTTAGGTTTTGGGCTTATCTTTATTTAACCGAATGATCAACGACTTTTCAATTCATGTTTTTGTTTTGCATGCAAGCAATGAACAGAAACACATGTTGCATGACATTTTTTTCGTTGTTTCGGTAG